AAAAAAACGTGTCCTTTAGTTTTGAGTCCTCTACAACATACATAAGTTTCATCAAAATCGGAGGGGAATACCTACACTTTCTCAAGGGGTGACAGAACGCTGAACAGTTTTCAAATTTTTGAACAAATTCCTTGCCGAAAGTTGTCGATATTTCTACAAATTGAAGCACATCAATATCCAGGAGGTGACGATGAAGATCAATGTGCGTTGGGTTCGAAAAATATTATTAACTTTGAGCAGGAAATTTGTTTAAAAATTTCGAGGAAACGGTGGCCTTCTGTTACCCATTAACTTTAAGTGGCCGCATCGTGAGGGAATCCCCGCCTAATCATATGCAACTTACAGGGCGTCACTGTAGAGTGCGTGAGCTGCTAGAAAAGCGCGGCCTCTTAAGAGTGAATCTGGTTTTTCCAGACGCCTAGCCGTGGGCTATACCATCACTAAAATACCTATGCGATATTTCTCAATGTTCCTGTGTTGATTGTGACCCTTGTACCGGCTTCTATCACTTCGTCACTTGAACCATGTTAGTTCCATAGAATCTTGGTGCTGATTAAGAGTCATGATTGAAAAAAAAAAGTGGTCATCCTCGGAATTTGAACCTTCTTTGTAACACTCTGTTCTGATGATTGGCGTCCTACTCACTGTTCCCTTTTTACTGTCGTATCCCGCGATTAGTGAGAATGCACGGTGATCTTTACTGAATATTTTCCTTCATGTGGAGTGGGTCCCAATTGCAGTTTTATGTAAATTGAAAGTGTTGAAGGATGCAGGGATCAACGGTTGGTAGATGTATCACTGGAAAATCGACAAGAATCTACAGTTCTGTAATTTTGAAACTCCTGGAAAAAGTTTTTCAATGTTCCAAAAATTATGAGAACAAAGAGAAGAGAAGTTCTGCGGATTTTTTTCTCCATTTTCCAATGATATATTGTGAGATACTTTCCAGTGCTTTAATGTCACAATTTATCGTTCCGTTTCGAATTGTGGGAACGAAAATAAAGGGAGGAAGTCACTTTATCTATGATAAGCAACGAATGAATGATGTGAGTAGATATTTTCGTCGGTTAATGTTTTTTAATCATCAAGTTTTATCCAAATAAAGACGTTAGAATTGTAAATATCTTAAGAATTGTTGAGGTAACAGAGAGAAATTATTTATAGATTGTGTTTATCATTAAATTTATTTCTTCTTCAGTGATTCACTTATTACTCCTTTCCTCATCTTCAATCGATTATTCGAAAATCAAAATGAATATCTTTGTTACGTAATATCCAATTGTATGATGAATTATTATTTTGTTGACAATGATGAGGCGATATTTATATGTATACGTAATATAATATGCTAGACCTCAAAGTATGAGATACAGAACGAAAAAGGATGGAGAAAAAACCAATAGAGATTTGTACATGTTGTAAAAAATGTTTTTATCAACACATGTAAATGTATACATTAATAATAATGATGATGATTAATCATTTATTTCAATAAATTCTGTCAACGATTGAACATGAAATAAAAACTGAAATGAATGAAAATGAAAAGATGAAAAACATGATTCAGCGCATGCAGGGTGTCCCGAAATTCATCGTACATATCGTGAGGGTAGGCTTGAGGGAGTTGTTTGGAGATGAAGTCGAATACAATTTTTGTCTCCTGCGCGTCGTTAAGGAGTTTTTCGTTAACAAGCAAAAATCCACCGCAAATCACCCTCTATTTGAAAATCAATATCTCCTCTCTCACTTGGGCTGGATCATGCCCGGGTGAAGCAACTCGCAATGAATTTCACCGCGGCGTAAGAGCCATTTGGTTCCTACACGAAATGTGACCCTAAAAATCAGAGTCAACGTCAAAAATTCGTATCTCCACTCTCATTCAATATCGAGGGACGAAATTAATTGGAATCAATTAGACATTTAATGCGATCATCCTTCCGCCTTAAATGGGAAAGAGGATATGATTTCTCTGTCGGGGAATAGCGTTTGATTGGCTGTCGTTTTTTCTTGATAACTCATAAACAAGGGCCGATTGAATATCATTGATGATGGCAACTGTTCTTGTGTTAGCATTGTTCTCTGTTAGCATTGTCCCACAAGTTTGGCCAAGCAGGTAAAACCAACCTTTAAAAAAAAATGTTGATATGGAAACTGTGAATCCAGTGCAGACAGTGTGAATAAATCATATATTTTCGCATTTTAAACACTGATAAACAAAGCGTCAGAGATAAAACATCCATGAGAGCTTTCGTTTTCAAATGACCCCTCGGGTTACCCCTGTGATATGTACGATACGGTTTAGGACACTGTACGCTTAAACTAGTCGACTTCTAGACACCACATGTGAAGGATCGGAAGCCTCAGGTGATGACACAGGAGATGGTGAAGGTGGTGGCCTGTAAGTTCCACTCCTGGGTTCACGTGGTAGCTCCATTACCCTAATTTTCTCATCGTTTTCTGCCGCTTTAACAACCTTCAACATCGACTTCCGATCGGAATCCTCATCATCACTGGAATTTCCATTTCTCCTCATCGAAACAATTTTTTTCTTCTTATTTATCGATGGTCTTGACCTCGTTCTCTTCCAGGTGTCATTGGCATCACTCGCGGGGTCCTCCGACTCACTCTGCCTTCTTGAATCTTCCTTTTTTGTTATGATACTTTGTGAAATGGAGGACTTCGAAGTGGATCTTCGAGGGGATGATGTTGATCGCACATTTTTTATGATTCTGTCCGGTCTTTTGGCTCTTTCGTCTCTTCTGGACAGCAAATCGTTCTCACTCCGCGCTCTTTTCGGTGGTCTCTTTCTCTGCATTCTTTTCTTTCGTTCCCAAGCGTTTTGGGATAGGGATGGCTGAGAGTGGCCCAGACCCTCAGTAGAAATGTCATTCAAAGTGTCTAGAGACCGACCGATTCTCGGCATTTCTACTGCTTCTTCGTAGGTCGGAGGACCCAGTAACTCTGCTGGGTTGATTCTAGGCTGATGCTGCTCTTGACGATTGAGCTCCGCTTCCAATTCTCTACTCCTGAAATGGAGGGAAGCAATTCAGTAGCGAAGCGGTAAAACGGTTTGATTCGAATTTGAGCATTGGCTAGTTTTCAGTGAATATCTCGGAATCGCAGGAAGATAGCTAAATTTTTGTCAAGATCTTTTTTGTAGCACTCAACTCGCTCTTGAAAAAAGGTTATTACAAAAATTTCGTTACCTCCTTTGGATTCGGAGATATTCTTCAAAAACTCAACTAAGGGATAAGTCGACTTAACCCGCTTTACCACTTCGCTAGTGAATTATATTCGATAAATAATTATAATTATTATTATTATTTTATTATTTATCAAATATGAAAAAAGCGTCTCGCAGTTGTTATTCTGTAAATATTGTAAAATAAAGACCCATTTAAGAATAAATGACTTCATTAAAAGAATTCGGTGCGAAATAAATGATAAAAAAAATTGGCGGACTAACAATGAAGATGAAAAAATAAAAGGGAAGAAAACAAGAATCGTACATGAGCGCACAAACAAATGCGCAATAATATGAAACCCCCAGTTAATATTCCATGATTTCGAAAGCTCAATTTCAATTCAATATCTCTATTCAGCTATATCAACGTTTCCAGCTCATTTGGATTTTTTTAATTTCATATACTTCAATATTAAAATTTCCATTCAACCGTTTAATTTATTATTAAATGGATTCTTCAGATCCGATCAATTAGCCCCTCATGTATAGATATTTCAAATTTTTATTTTTTTCTTCATTGAAGTAGTTTTGAAGAAAATTGCGAGCTAATAAAAAACATTTGCTAGTTGGTAGTTTTTTTAAAATAAATTTTTGAAAAATCACCTCTGAAAAAAGAGGCGTTATCCCCTCTATTTCATTATTTCCAAAAATTTTTATCACCAATCGATAGCAAATTGTTTGAAGATTTTTGCGAGTTAAGAAAAAATCGTCAATGCAATCCTATTATTGTGTAAATTAACAATTCCAATTTCAACTGAAAACCAGAGTTGATGACCAGAGTTTGTAACAGAGATGTCAGACAAGATATGAATGTTTTTTTGGCTCAAATGAAAGAGCGGCTCGAAAAATGGCGTGCGGAAGTCTTTAAAGATGACAAATGTCTCTAAAGATGATGTCTGTTTTCAATTGAAAAGCGCAATTGCGACAACATTGTCCAGTGGGGTCTAGGAGTCTCCCCTGGTTCAAAACCACCTTTAGAGGCCCTAGCACGTCATTTCTCGACCCGCTCTTTCATTTGAGCCCAAAAAAACATTCATATCTTGTCTGACATCTTTGCTACAAACTCGGGTCTACAGCTCGGGCCTTCAATTGAAACCCCGAGTTGAAAATCGGATNTTTAATACTTAATTCACAGATATGTTGCGCCATCTGACGGGTTTTTTCTTAAGTGGTAGGAGCCCATAATAGCAAATCAAGCGCAATTACATCAGGACTGAAATTTTTCGAGTTTAGGGTACCCTAGAAACATTAAATTTCAATCAGAGTCACATCCTGAATCCCTGCAATACTGAGCGGGATACATAGCTCTGATTGGTTGAAATTTAAGGACTTTAGGGCATCCCAAACACGGACGTAAAAATTTAATAGAAAAACCTATCGAATTCGTTAGAAAATTCTATTGATTTTCTATTGAACTGTTCTATTAGTTTTTGGCCGATTCTATTGAAATGGTCAATAGAAAATGTTCAGTAGAAATATTCAATAGAATTCAATTTTTCTATATAACTTATTCTATTGAGATATTTTCTATACAATTTCCTCGGCTCAAATTTTCCAAGTTTTTTCGTTTAATTTTCTCGATGAGAAGAAAAGAAAAATAGAATGAAAAAAACTTAGAAAATTCAAGTCAGGCAAATTCTATAGAAAATATATGAAAAGAATAAGTGATATGGGAAAATCGAATTCGATAGGTTTTTCTATTAAATTTTTTCCGTGCGTGAATTAATTTTCCATTTCTGTTTGAATTTTTTTACTCAACCATTCAAACCTACTCTGCAGTAATGGTTCTCTCATTCAATTCCACAATTTTCAATGTGAAATGTTCTTCCACCTCCGATAATTCATATTGTAAAATCAAAGGAATCTTCCTTTACGAAGAAAGCCCGTTTAAATTGCAGCGAAGTACTCCGTAAAAAAATCCTGTTGAAAGAGTTGATCAAATGAACTTAATTACCTTCGATGGAGTATCAGTCTTTCCCTGGCTTCAGCCCTTTCGGCCTCTCTCACCCTCAACTCTGCCTGTCTCCTCTTGGTTTTTACGGTGTGGCCAATGGAGACTGCACTACCGAATGCAAAAAAAGCGACCAACACTCCAAGCATTACTATCGCGAATGATTTGTTGTTGGTTAATTGGTCTTCGGGATTTTGGGTCCAGACTTTACCGCAGGCAGTGGCCCAGGTATATCCGGACACGTTACTTGGACTGTGACAGATCAGCGTGAGGAGGTTTGTCTTTCTGGGCGTTTGGATCAGGTACAGGTAGGTGGGCAGTAATTGATCGCAGTCACAGCGCCAGGGATTGTCATGCAGGTGGATTTTTTTTAGCTCTTGATTGTGTGTAAATATTTCCCAGGGGAAACCCTCGGTCAATCTATTTCCTGGAATCGAAAAATTGTCAGGGAATTGAATGAGTAATTGATTTAGTTGCTTTCACAAGATATTTTGATTTTTATCCGAATTAGATCAGTTGTGAAGTGGTCAAGTGTGCGAAGTTTAAGGAGAATCTTTTTTTTGTGTACACGGAGAGAAAAATTAAATAAAAATTACCAGAGAAAAAACGTAGAACGGAACGTAGACATAACTCACCAGCTTCATAAAAATTGTTGAACGTTCAAGAATTTTTGATTTTTAAGGCATAATAAGTCGGCAAATTTCTGTAAGATTTTACTTCATCAGGAAAAATTACGTGACAATTTCGTAGTTTGTTCGGTGATGAACCTGAAAATTCACTGAACGTTTCAGATTTCTTCTCTTCCATTCCTATAAAAATTGCCGGAAAACGATTCCCCATTGCGGATTACGTGAATTGTTCCGTAATTTTTACTGAATATTTCTCTCCGTGTAACGTTGTTCCGTGCGTGCTGACCTGACAAGTCGAGTTTCCTCAGCATCGGTAGATTATCAAAGCTTTCATTAGATAATCTGGTCAATCTATTCCCCTCCAGGTCCAAAGTCGTCAAGGTTTTCGACTCCACCCCTGTCTCAAACCTTTCCAATCGATTTCTGCTCAAATCCAGACCGCTTATCCTCCACATATTCGTCAAACTATCCCTCGGAACCTCTTCGATGAGGTTCGCAGACAAGTCCAGGTTAACAACAGACGTCGACAGACGCCTGGGAAAATTTCTAATATCATTATAAGAGAGGTTCAAGGTGTTCAGTTCCACATTGTCGCGAAATGCTACAGTCGGGAGCGTCTCCAAGTTGTTTCCGGAGAGGTCTAATTGCTCTAATCGCGGCATTCCTACGAAGGAACTGGCGTTCACTCGGGCTAATCCATTTCCACTCAGATTTAAGTCAATCACTGCGGGATTTTTACCGAAAATTCGATCGGGAAGGAAGCGTATGACGTTTCGAGATAATGTCACGTGAGTCAGTGACGGTAAGCCGTGGAGTCCTGGGCGATCCAGGTTGCAGCCTGATGCGTCGAGTCTTTTTAGTACATTGTGCTTCAGTGTTTCTTTTCTGAAAAATAATTGTACTGGGTGCACAGCAAAAACGGATGTCTGAATTTCACACACATTTGTAGATATTTTTCAGACACTAAAATACGTCTGAAAAAAAGGAAATTTGCTTGGATTTTAAACATGAATTAAGATGTTGGGGGACTTGTTCGTTTGAAATTCAAAAGAATTTTCATTTTATTCAGACGTTTTTGAGTGCCTCAAAATGTCTGCAAAATTTGTGTGAAATTCAGACATTCGTTTTTGCTGTGGGTTTCAAAACTCATCGTACATATCGTGAGGGTAGCTTGGGGGAGTTATTTGGAGACGAAAAGTCCAATAGAATTTTTGTCTCCGGCGCTTTGTTAAGGAGTTCTTCGTCAACAAAGCAAAAATCCACCGCAAATCACCCTCTATTTGAAAATTAATATCTCCTCTCTCACTTGGGCTGGAGGAATGAAACTGGGGGCAATCGATTAGGCATTTAATGCACATTGATCTGAAAAAAATTGTTCTTCTATCATCATGCCCGGGTGAGGCAACTCGCAATAAATTTCACCGCGGCGTAAGAGCCATTTGGTTCCCACACGAAATGTGACCCCAAAAATCAGAGTCAACGTCAAAAATTCATATCTCCACTCTCATTCAATATCGAGGGATGAAATTGATTGGAATCGATTAGACATTTAATGCTATTATCCGTCCGACTTAAATGGGAAAGAGGATATGATTTCTCTATCGGGGAATAGCGTTTGATTGGCTGTCGTTTTTTTCTTGATAACTCATGAACAAAGTGTCGGAGATCAAACATTCATTAGAGTTTTCGTCTTCAAGTTTTCGTCTCGTTGCGGCTCAATTTCGATGGTGGGCGTTATTTTCTAGGACTGTTATAATTTCTGGAATACCTGGTGCTGTAGACGAGTGTCGGGTTGTTCGATATTTTAAGATGCTCCAAGGCAGGGAGTCCCTTGAAAGTATCTGGAACGAGATAATTCAGCCTGCAGCTCGATAAATCCAGCCATTTCAGTTTATCATTCTGGATATCCTGGAGTGTCTTCAGAGGATTCCCGGCCAGGTTGAGTGATACCAGTTCAGGGAGTCCGAGTAATGATACGTTTGTGATGTTTTTTATTGCTAGAACATTGATGAATCCTTGTGAATTTCAGTATTAATTCACGCCTTGCAGCCTCACCCTAATTATTCTCGAGATAGTAGTACGAGTGACTAACTCATCATACAAAATCATCTCTCATTCATTCTTCTGCATATTCTGTGAATACACACACAAAAAAAATTATAGAAAAACCTAGTGAATTCCCTAGACAATTATATTGGATTCCTATTGAATTTTCTATCAGTTTTTTTGCTGATTCTATTCAAGTGTTCAGTGGAAAATATTCTATAGAAAAAACTGAACAGAATTAGATTTTTTTACGCAATATTTTCTTTATCATTTTATCCAATATTATTATTTGTATTGTATTGAACTATTTTCTATGAAATTTCCAGGGCTCAAATTTTTCAATCTGTTTTCGTTCTATTTTTATTTTTGTTTCATCAAGAGATAACAATCAATCAAGAAAAAAAATCAAACGAAAAAAAATTTTTTCATGAAGATAAAAACTTGGGAAATTTGAGCCGAGGAAATTCTATGAAAAACATCTCAATAGAATAAGTTGAATAGAAAAATCGAATTCTATTGATTTCTTCACAGAATATTTTCCCTTGAACATTTCAACAGAATCGGCCAAAACTTAACAGAAAATTCAATAAAAATCCACATGAATTGTCTGAGGGATTCGCTAGGTTTTTCAATGAAATTTTTTCACACGTGTGATTCAAGAATTGACTATTAGTTTTTTTGCTGATTCTATTCAAGTGTTCAGTGGAAAATATTCTATAGAAAAAACTGAACAGAATTAGATTTTTTTACGCAATATTTTCTTTATCATTTTATCCAATATTATTATTTGTATTGTATTGAACTATTTTCTATGAAATTTCCAGGGCTCAAATTTTTCAATCTGTTTTCGTTCTATTTTTATTTTTGTTTCATCAAGAGATAACAATCAATCAAGAAAAAAAATCAAACGAAAAAAAATTTTTTCATGAAGATAAAAAAATCAAACGAAAAAATTTGGGAAATTTGAGCCGAGGAAATTCTATGAAAAACATCTCAATAGAATAAGTTGAAAAGAAAAATCGAATTCTATTGATTCCTTCACAGAATATTTTCCCTTGAACATTTCAACAGAATCGGCCAAAACTTAACAGAAAATTCAATAAAAATCCACATGAATTGTCTGAGGGATTCGCTAGGTTTTTCAATGAAATTTTTTCACACGTGTGATTCAAGAATTGACTATGCAACATTGACTCACAGCAGTAGCTGGCATCGACAGCTCTCACAGCCACATTCGCCAAGTCCTCCAGGCTCGAGATGGGATTCTCCTTGAGATACAAAATCCTCAAGTTCGGAAGTCTGGTGATCACTCCAATTCCACCCGCAACATCATGAATGTCGTTCTGGCTCAAGTCGAGTCTCTCCAGTTTCCAGAGCTCCCCAAACTGATCAGGCAACCCCTTCAACTTGTTCCTCGCTAGGTTCAGGTACTTCAACTCCACCAGACGTCCAATGTCCTCTGGTATATACTTCAAGTTGTTTCCTGATAAATCCAAGTGCTGAACCTGAAATAAAAACTCACGATTTGAAATGTAAAATAATACGCACGAAAAAATTTAATAGAAAAACCTATCGAATTCGTTAGAAAATTCTATTGAATTTCTATTAGTTTTTGGCTGATTCTATTGACATGTTCAACTGAAAATATTCAATAGAAAAAGTCAACAGAATTCGATTTTTCTATATAACTTATTCTTTTATATATTTTTTATATATTTTCTATAGAATTTGTTCGACTCAAATTTTCCAAGTTTTTTTCANCTGAAAATATTCAATAGAAAAAGTCAACAGAATTCGATTTTTCTATATAACTTATTCTTTTATATATTTTTTATATATTTTCTATAGAATTTGTTCGACTCAAATTTTCCAAGTTTTTTTCATTCTATTTTTCTTTTCTTCTAATCAAGAAATCAAACGATAAAACTTGGAAAATTTGAGCCGAGAAAATTCTATATAAAATATCTCAATAGAATAAGTTATATAGAAAAATTGAATTCTATCAACTTTCTCTACTGAATATTTTCTATTGAATATTTCAACAGAATCGGCCAAAAACTAATAGAAAGGTTCAATAGAACTTCAATAGAATTTTCTAACGAATTCGATAGATTTTTCTATTAAATTTTTTCGTTCGTGAGTAGCAAAATATTTCTTTCCATTAAATATTAATGGGTAAAATTAATGAATAAACTTTCGATAAAAATTTATGAATAAATAAAAAGGCGAATACAAACAAATAAACGAACAAACAACACGAATTAAATTCACTTTTGCTCACCAATTCAGTTATATTCTCTGGAAATTCATCAAGTCCGGCATTAGCACAAGAAATTGACGCTCGATTCCCCTTGAAATATCTCGAACAATTGACTTGATCAGTAGTTCCCACATTTTTCACACTAATCACTAGGGAAAATATGAAAAACAATATTTTCCTCTGGACCCTGGCACTTGACATTCTTTGCAACTTCACTTTTCCTTATCGCAAATGCCCGAATTCGTGTTATCATATTCGTGATTTTTTTGGAGGGATTCTCAACGCATTTTTGAAATTGGTTTCAATGAGTTCCTGTGGGTGATTTTGATACTGTGGGGCGTGACGGTGTTTCACCTCAGAGTGAAAACTACCAACTACTTATCTACGTTATTCTCGTGGACACTTTGTTATCTCGAAATTCAAACGGAGATAACCAGCTCAGTCTGTCTCATTGTATTACTCATAAACCGGTTAATCATTTTATTTCTGAATGATAACATTGATGATAGCTCGAGTGAGATGAAGGGGGAGTGTCGATTGTAATTATGCAATGAATTCTGGGTGAAAAGGGTCATGGAAAAACCTAGAGTATGTGCTAGGAAATTCTGCACTGTTAGAAAATTACTCTTGAAATTTGAAGTTGAAAAACTAAATTTTTTTAACACCACTTAATTTACATGAAATTTATCTCCATTTTAATACTGGAAAATCAGATAACTTCTTTGAGTATTTAATGAAATTCTTATTCTCTGGAAACCGACCTTGAATTCGATTAAAGGGGAAACAGTCAATGAAATGAGTCTCTCTGAAAATTCAAGTAAAGTCCCAATTTTTTGTGGCAGAAAGACGGAAATGTCGCTATTTACATGAATTTTCAAGTGAAAATGAATATTCACTGCCAAATTTCTTTGGATTTTCAGGGATTTCCTTAAAGATTCTGGGAATTCCCTGAAAACTCAGAGGAATCGGGCATTCAAGAAGAGATTTTTTTGAATTTTTTATTAATTTTTTCGGAATAATTAACGTGAAATTTGCAGTTCCCTGGGATTTTTTAATCAAATTGCACAGAAAGAAATTCTCTCTGTGTAATTTCACGGGAAAATAGACGCAATGTGACGGCCGGGGTGTATAATTTGACGCATTGATTCGTTACATTTATCATTGTTAGAATTCTTTAAAAAAATGATCAGTAATGAAAAATTTTTTTTGGTAGTTTAAATTTATTTTTTCACGTTACATTCAACAACTCAACTGGAGTTTATCCATAGCGCACTTTTAAAAAATTCGACTGAATTTTCCGGAAACAGGCCTTGAATTCGATTTAACGGGAAAAAGTTAATGGAATTTATTTACATAAATTTTCAAGTGAAAATGCATATTCACTGCCAAATTTCTTTGAATTTTCAGGAAATTCCTTTAAAATTCTTGGAATTCCAGGAATTTTTCAACGAATTCCCTGAAAATTCAGAGAAATCTGAAATTCAATGACAGATTTCTCTAAATTCTCCTGACTTTTCATTAATTTTCTCTGAATAATTAAACTGCAATTTACAGTTCCCACAAATTTTTCCATGAAATTATGAATTTTCAACGAAAAAATTCCTTGCAATTTCAGTGTTCATGTTATTTGTTAGAAATTTCCAAGATCCTTACCGGAAATTTCAGTGAAAAATTTTTAATAGTGTATTTTAAAGTATTTTTTATTGAATCATAAAGAATTCACCGAGATTTTCTGGATAATTCTCCCTCTTCTTCCCTTCCTCGCTCGCCCACTCCCCCCCTCTCGCTCTCTCTCTCTCTCTCTCTCTCTCTCTCTCTCTCTCTCTCTCTCTGTATCTGTGTAGAAATTTATAGACAGTAAAAAAGGAGTGAGCGAGTCTCGTGGAAAACGTAAGACATTAGATAAATACGTTCGAGTTGGGTATAAAGCCGATATTGAGTAGCCATCCGCGGTGAGTTTTCGTCGTCCACTGTCGACGGTCTGTAAGCCTCTCTCGGCTGACCCATGCGGATATTTTTCCCTTTCCCTCAACCCCGGGCTTCAGTAGTATAAGCTGGCGCATCGTCCAGTGTCCAAACCCATTGCAAAACCCCCACCTTCCCGCCCACCGATCTCCTTCTCTTATTTTCGTCTATGCTTTTAAATCCCGCGAGAGCAGCCGACCCTTTTGCAACGTCCAACTCTGCATTATAAATTTTCCTCTGAGCAACCAAATCCATATTTGTATGATACATTCTGAATATACTGTTGATCAAAAGAAATCAGAGAAAAATATGTGGAAAATATATCGCAGGAAATGAAATTTTTTTATTTCAATTACGATTCCCTTTTTCACTTCCCGACTCGAAGGGAGGAAATTATTTTCATTCAATTAGTCATGGGTCATTGAAGCTGATATTAGAATTAAAAATCAATCGATTCAATATACACTAAATGAAAAACATATGAATATAAAAGTGTATAAATTGAAAATTTTAAAAAATGAAGAAAATAAGGCAATGGATAAAAATAAATACCAAATAAAAAAACACGAAATATAAATAAACAAATAAATAAATAAATTGAAAAAGAAATGAAGAAAATGAAACAATGAATCAAAATAAATATGAAATAAGCACAAAATGAAAATGAAACAGAAATAAATAAATAAAGAAATAAATAGCAAATTGACCAGTTGTCTTGGAATTTTGAGTAGTTGGGCATTATTACTCTATTCAGATGGAATACGACGGTGACATAGAATCCATGTTACAAAAAATGTCATGAAATCGAGAATCCATTAAGGAATTTAAAAAAATCTGACATTTTCGTCATAAAAAATTCCATAAAAATCAAAATTCAAAGTTATTTATTCATGACTTCAGGCAATGGTCCATGGAAGTCTATATTATAATTCCAAATCAATCAATTCAATACACACAAAATAAAAAACATGAAAAAACAAACATGAAAAAACAAATATAAAAGTCTATAAATTGAAAATTGAAAAAAAATGAAGAAAATAAGACAACGAATAAAAATGAATACGAAATAAAAAAATTAAAATGAACCAGAAATAAACAACTAAATAAATAAATTGAAAATTGAAAAAGAAATGAAGAAAAATAAATAGGAAATAAGAAAAAAATAAAAATGAAACATAAAAAAACAAATGAAGAAATAAATTAAAAATTGAGCAGCTGTCATGAAATTTTGAGTAGTTTGACATTACTAAACTCTATTCAAATGGAATATGATGGTCGTATGTCAATGCCGACCTAAAATTTTTATACATCCCCAGCGTGGACTCCACCCACTGGTCAAACCCTGAATTAAAAAAGCCGCAAATCATCCGCGCGCAGGATCCTCGCAGACCAGTGATTTTTAACACAATCCATTCCACCAGTAACATTCGTACACTGGGCCAATGGAAACCGAGGTAACACCCTCGGGAGGGTGTGATCGGCTTAGCCAGCGCCGGCGCTTAGCCAGGGCTTATCCAGGGCCACGCTGTTGCACAAGCCAGTGGGGGATGTATCCACTTCTGGTGAAATCTACCTGTTGACTGTCGTCTAAACCCAACCCCTTCGGTGTGATTTTACAAATCCCATCAAGTGGTCACGCCTTTGCACCGATTCTCGTGATTTTCTCCTAGTTTGCGGTCTATTCTTCACGCTCAGCGGAAGGGAATGCGTCGGTGGCGTAATTTCCTTCATTGGATAGCTAGAGAACTACTCCAGTGAAGTGAGGCGAATGGCTAGCCACACGGAGAGAAATATTCAGTAAAAATTACGGAGCAATTCCCTCGCATGATGACCAGTCTAGGGTTAAGAATCTAATAGTTGGTACTAACGAAAAAGAAAAAGTCTGTGTGTTCATTTTACTGCGTGAGGATAGCGATATTAAAGATAATTTTTACAAGATTCAGAGCATGGCGAGGTGGTACAGAAGTTCAGGATTTATTGTTGGAGGTCGATATTAATATTATTCTGAGTATTCTTACGTAAAATATATGCTCATGTATTGATCGTGTTATGTCTATTTCGGATTAAATTTTGACTTCAACAGTGAAAATCGTTTCGTATTAATAGTTGTAATAATGTATTTAGCCATCAGAATGATTTTCGTTTTCCGGGGAAGCTGAAGCATTCTTTGAAACAGCATAATGTTACATTAAAAAAATTTTCAAAATTAGAACCATTAAAAAATTTCGTAGAAAAACCTAGCGAATTTACTGAACTATTCTATTAAATTTCTATTGAACTCTCCATTAGTTTTTGGTCGATTCTACTGAAGTTTTCAATAGAAAATATTCTATAGAAAAAGTTAACAGAATTCGATTTTTCTGCCCAACGTATTCTATTGAACCATTTTTTATAGAAATTCCTCGGCTTCCATTCAAAGTTTTTTCATCCCATTTTTCTTTTCATTTCATCAAAAGAATAAACTAAAGAATTTAGAGAATTTGTATTAAAAAAAAAATTAAAAAATACACAGTGAATGGGCTTCAACAACTAAATTCCTAAAAAAATGAATTCTTCTCTTGAAAAGAAAATTCCTACCCAAGAGTATTGCTTTTTTTCAGTATGAAAATTAGTTCATTTCGTTCCGATTAGAAACAGCCGATTTTGCCTCACACTCTAACTTAATTCATTCAAAACTGAAAGAAAAGAAAATCGTTAGGAATTTATTATCGAGCTAGCACATATTTCCACTCCCACTCAGATAATAATGAGCCAATAATTTTCCTGAAAACGAAGTTTTTGTGATACTCCGGTATAATTAAAATTCGATCAGACCCAGTGAGTTCGCCACTTTGGCCTGTTGGTTAGATAAAATCCCAGGCGAGTTATACAGCAGTCATCGTGAGTACACCCCGAGCATTTAAACGTACGAAAGAAAGAGGGGCCGAGGGGCGGCGAGAGGTGAAAATGGGTTGAGCGAAAAAAAGGGGGATATATAATACAAGTTCAGTCGCTATCTCCCGGTGGGTTGCCACTGCCAAAACGAGAAAGGACTCGGAGAGCGCAGTTTATATATTTTTAACGCTTTCATTTCCGTCAGGGGTGTACCGGAAATAGCGACACGATACCTTCACGGTGTTTCAAGTATTGATCAGTTCGGAGGGAACCGAACTGGGTGGCCCAACCCCACTTCTGGAAAATCTGGACTTACTCGGTGGGAAGGGACCCGGAGTCAGCTTCGATCTCACTTATTGTGC